TACAGGAGTTCGCCCCGGTCTTGAAACCTTCCGTAAGTCGCCTAACCCTCTGGTAGAATTTTCGGGCGTTCTTCCTGTCGGCCAGCATCTCAAGCTCTTCGCACTCACGTATTTCGGCCTCCCTCTTCTTATTGCGGCAAATACGTCTCGCTTCCTTCTTCAGTTCCCTATAACGGTCCCACATGGCTCACGTTGCGCCCGATCGCAGCGTGGCCCTGTAGGCGGCATCTTTTTTCTATGCGGCTTCTTGACATTCCTCATCGTACCAGTTATTCTTTCGGGCTCGCTGAAATCCAACTACTTCTTCGGCGGCGGTACTTAATGATCGGAAAATGTGGTTCCACTGCTCGCGTACGTCGGATTGTTGAAGAGTGCTCTCAGAGAGCAGGTGTGTGAGTCGAGTGGCGAATAAATTGGCCGTCTGTTGTGATTGCAGCTTTTCGACGTTAAGCTTTCCTTGCATTGTTGGGCGCACATTTTTTGCTGCACAGAGGCGGGTGCGTATCTTGGCTGCAACAAGATAGTGATCCGAGTCGATGTTTGGCCCTCGGAGTGTACGTACGTCCAAAACGCTTGAAGCATGCCTTCCGTCTATCACAACATGATCGATTTGGTTTCTCGTTTTTCGATCTGGAGACAGCCATGTAGCTTGGTGGATGTTCTTATGCTGGAACCTAGTACTACATGTTACCATATTTCGGGCCCCGGCGAAGTCGATCAGCCTCAGTCCGTTATCGGACGTTTCGTCGTGGAGGCTGAATTTTCCGACAGTGGCGCCAAAGATCCCTTCCTTGCCCACCTTGGCATTAAAATCGCCAAGCACGGTTTTGACATCGTGTCGGGGGCAGCGCTCATATGTACGTTCCAAGCGCTCATAGAAGAGATCCTTGGACGCCTCATCCTTCTCTTCCGTCGGGGCATGGGCGCAGATGAGCGAGATGTTGAAGAATCTAGCTTTGATGCGGATTGTGGCTAGACGTTCGTCCACCGGGGTGAACGCCAGTACTCGGCGACGGAGTCTTTCTCCTACCACGAATCCAACACCGAATTTGCGCTCCTTTACGTGGCAACTGTAGTAGACGTCGCAAGGCTTCACGCTTACTTTACCTTGCCCCGTCCATCGCATTTCTTGGATGGCGGTGATGTCAGCCTTTGTCTTCCCGAGGACATCAACCAGCCGGGCGGAGGCACCTTCCCCATTAAGGGTCCGGATATTCCAGGTGCATACCCTTAAATCATAGTCCTTTATACGTTTGCCGTGGTCGTCATCAGAAAAAGGGGGTCTCATCCGAGGCTTGTTGGAATTTTTCATTGGGCGGGGTTTTAACGTGGCGGGACCCAAACCCAGCGCACGCGAAGTTTTACGCCTTCTCACTTTAGTTCGCTCCCAAACGGGTGTTTGGTTGCTACCCAGAGGATACGTGGATATAAATATCCGGACGTTGTGAGCTGCGATTTGAACCGTACGCACAAGAATCGCTTCTGGCCACTCCCAGGTGAATGGCAGTCAAAAGTTTTCCACTTCTGCGCACGGAACCATCCTCTTACTTGTTTTAATTTTAATTCTATTCATATATATATATATATATATATATATATATATATATATATATGTGTATGTATATACATATTAAATAATGCAATTATTTATTCATTTATTAATTAAAGTGAGCCGAGTGGAAGAAAGAGTGAAAGGCAACAGCAAAAAAGTATTAAAAATCAACGGTAATATTTTGCCCTTTAAACGTGTACATTATTATACGAAATTAAATTGGCTTCTCAAATTTAAGAGTGAAAAGCTGAAAAATTTTTTGATTTGTTAAATTTTTGTGAGTTTTTCCCAAAGTTTTAAACTTTAATTTATATGGCGTATGCTATACAATTTTTATAAAAAAATTAGTGAAAGAATTTAACATTTAAATATTGTTTTTACATTCGTTAATAAATTCAAGCAATTGAACTAAAAAATTTAAGTTTTTTTAAGGGAATCGTGCCATCGTGGATGAATTTGCCGAATTTCGAAACTACGTTGGTGTTAAAGATCATAAAATATTTCGAGTGTCAAACGTTCGCTGGTTATCGCTGAAGTAAGCTGTTGATTATTCACTGTACCAGTGGAAAGCGTTGCAATTATTTTGCATATTTTGTTTCGGTGACGGTGTGAACCATGATACAAAAAAGAAGGTAGTTTCATTTAATGACATTCGTTGTTTTTGTTAACTTTTAATGAAATTATGACATTTCATTAAATGCATGCTACCTGATCAGGAGCAGTAATTTTTTATTTAAGCAGAAGATTTCATCAGTCCACTCAAAGATATCGAATATGATGAACCTGAAAATTAATGCATCATCTCAAAAAGGGGGTTGACGAAACTAGGTTTCAGAACAATTTATTCACATGGAATTGGTGATTATAAAAGGATTTATTTGAAAAGAGAATTCTTTAGAACTAGATATTTAAATTGCAAGATTGCATACAAAATAAGAAAATGAGAAAATAACAACATAATGCTCTTGTCTCCTTTAACATTACATATTTTATATATTTTTAATAAAAAAAGGTGCGAGCCACGTAAGTAAAAAAATTACCAAGCACTGATAATGATTTTTCATTTGATATATTATTAAATTGGTATAAATGTGGGAAAGAAAATACTCCGATTTATTGTTTTAATATTATAAAAGTGGTATGGCCGTTGAGATAAACTTTATAAAACTTCAAAAAATTTGATTATCCGTCAAAAGTTGTTTATTGAAACAACCTTCTTTTTGTATCATGATGTGAACCAAGCGCGAGCTATTGCCGAAAAAATTAATTCCGCACCAATAAAAATTTTTATTTATTATTTTTGTCAAATATGTTTTGGATATTGTCAATATAATGAACATAGAATTTCAAAGTAAATCATACAAATTGCATAAGTTATATAAGAATTTTGAAAGTAACTATAAACTTATATTTTCTTTTTTCGTCAAACTTAACTGTGTGCCAAGTAACCCAGCTGATATAGACGTTTGTAACCCAGATAATCATTTACCTCTAAAGGAAATATATATAAATTATCAGCAATGTTATATTGAACTTTTTTGGCAAAAAAAAAGAGATTTGATTTTAACAGTGAAATTTTGAAAAGCCTTGCATGTATTAATCCATTGCATTAGCGCACACAAGGGGTGGGTTTTAGGGTTCAAACCCCCCCTAAAGCTAATATCCCCAAATACAAACTGTATCTTAAAGCTAAGAATCCAGCTCTCAAGGAAATCATAAGAAATATTTATTATAATTTCTGTTGCTTGAAAAAAGCGCTTTGCTTTTGTTGTAAATTTTCATGAGAAAATAAATAGACGACCTCTTTTTTCTTGAGAGCTGCAAACTGGTTTAAGAAATTTTGGTAAAAAAAAATTTCTTTTCCATTTCTTGTCCTTCGTTTTATATGAATTTTTCGTTTTTCTTGAGAGTTCAGCAAATTTTTTCGGTATTCGAAATATTAAAAAAATGTGACATTCGTGAAAAATCACCATCTCTATCGAAAACCAGAAACCAGAAATCGGAAAATTGAACATAAAAATGTAAAAATTTCATGGAATCAATAAATTTATTTTTACTGACTTTTTTTTTAAATTTGTTATTAGGTACTTTTAAAAGTTGAGCGCATCTTGAGTTAATGAAAATTTTTTTTAAACAAGTAGTTTTTAAGGAAAGGACACAACCGACTTCAATTCTCATACACAAATTTAGGAGTACCGTTAATTTCTTCATGATCCAATCATCGGATCTAAACCAAATTACGGGACGACCCTTGAGGTACCATCTTTCCAATAAAAAAAGAATTATTGAAATCGGTTCACGGGGTCCAAAGTTATGTATTCCGACGTATTGATAACCTCCCCTTTTCTGAAGTCGGTTAAAAATGTTTGAGTTCTGTTAATCTTATGTAAATAAAGTGCAGTTTATGAATTTTAAAACGTTTATTTATTTATTACATACTGTACATAAAGCTTGCATAAATGTATTTTAAAGAGCGTATTATCTGAAGCGAATTTTCAGTATATTCCGGTGATATATCTTCAGAAATATAAACCGCCCCTAAAATATATTCCTGGGTGCGCCCCTGATCCATTGTCATATAAAGAAAGCGCTAATTCGGCATTTTTAACAGTTTTAAATAATTTTCCTAATTTGTAAAAAAACGACAAAGAGGAAATTTGTATACAATGGCAACTTTTGAAATTCGATAATAAAATAGATTTCGTTGAAGTAAGAAAGGGGGAGTAGCAATCTAAAAAACGCTTTAAATAGCTTTTTATATAACGAACTAACTTCTTTTATTTTTCACTTGTTATGTTTGCCGCCCAGCTCTACCGCTGCAAAGCGCATTTTCTCACATCTGAATTTAATCGAAACAAATAAAACAAATCGCTTCACTTTGCCAATGGTGGAATGCGTAATGTTTTCGAAATGCCTTAAAAATGATTAAAAAATTTGAATTCTCAGTCGTATAAGTACAAAAAGTATTTAAACTAAAAATAAGATTATATATAAGACATTTTTGCTGTTTTTCTTATAGTAATACCCAGTTGAACTTATACATATAAGACATTTTCTTTATTATTATTATACAAGCTCCAGGTACAACTGATACGTGTTCCATTTTTGTAATCAATAAATGTTAAATTGTTTCCATATTGATACTTTGATACTAAAAATTAAAAAAGAGATACATATTGATACATTTTAAGTCTCTTATCTGCTACAATTTTTCACAAGCCCGCGGTCACACTGATTGTAAGGCACATTTTACTTCAGGCAAAAGAATTTTGCTTTCAGCTGCCATTTCTTAGTATACCTAAATGGAATGTAAACTTAAAAGGCTCGAGCCCATTGCATTACTGCCGTTTGTGTTATTTCACCCAAACCAATGCATTATTCCCACACTACATACTATAAAGAATTTGCTGAGAGACTTGATGGGAATATTCGAAAGTTTTACTGGCTCCAAGGATATTTCTGATTATTTATTTTTATATTTTCAGAAATTGACAATCAAGCGAGATTGGCCTCTTCCTCAATGTCGGAGTCCCCGTCTCTGGCCAATTTGCAGAATAAACAAAATCGTGATCAACAGTATTTGGCCGTGCGTTGCAATCCTGGTGGTGGCCCACCCCGAGGTTCTCATTCTAATGACTCTGGCAGTTTTGGCAAGGCTGAAGGTAATGAATACATAGAAGATATTTGTCCATATGCTACATTCCAGCTGAATAAACAGACATATAGCGAAAGCTCATATAGCGGTAATGTGTACAGTGGGCCGTATCACTCAGTACGAGGCTCATTTGTATACCACGACGTGAAGCCGGAAAACTATCATGTGAGTAATAATATTTTAAAATTTTATTCAAGAATTTAATACTACAATATCGAATTGATTTTATAGTCGAAGGAACCAGAGTACACAAAAGTGCGCCGAAAAGTTGGGCGCCTGCGTGACCCTCATTCGGAAAGTCAAGGTGTGTATTAGTATATAGATTTTTCATGCCAGCAGTGGCTTGATTTCTATGATCTTTTTATACATTTATATTTAAATAAATTTAACATACTATGAGAGCAAAATTTAAATAAATTTAAGATCTCATTTTGCATCTATTAAAATGAAATAACTATACATACTCATTAAACATCACTTGATCAGCCAGTACTCAGACTAAACCTAATACCTTACCCATATCGAGTCCATTATTTTATCTCTACATATCCTTAGAAGTCCTTGTCCGACAAAAATGCGTATACTTTAATTTTTTGTTGGTAATTAAAATTACATCAGCAGACAATACATACCGGTGACGAACAAAAGAATTGGAACAGTGAATTTTTCGCAATATATGCAAAGTTTTTTATTCTTATTTACTTTATTCCACCATAAAACGTACCATAAAATGTAAAAACCCAATCTCCAAACTTTGTGCAAAACTCAGGTAAATTCAATAAATTTGCAACTTTTTATTCAGATTTTTTAGAAAACTCTAAGGATGCAGTTATATAGAAAGTCCAAGTTTGAGGTTGCTAGAAAATCACGTTGATTTTTGACAATTATTTTACGCAGGGTCTTCCATTCAAAGTATCCCTGTAGGGCAGAAATTCCCAAACCTTTTATTCTTGTGGACCCCTTTCAAAACTTTGCTGGTTTCCGTGGACCCACTGCTGCTACATTTCTAACATATTCCCAAAGCTCGTAAAAAATGTGAAGATTGGATCTAACGATGTAAATTTACGTCGCCGGTGAGTTCCAAAACTGAAATCGGAGTGGCAAAGATAAAGATAAAATATTTTCTTGTGTTCTATCTATTAAAATAATGTCATGTGTGTGAGGCTTGCAAGTTTTAAGAAACAGAGCTCTGAAGAGTTATATCTTTAAGAGCACTCCGAGCGCTAGCGCAATTTACTTTGTCTTCACGATAAACTCCTCGTATGTTCGGATCACTAATGAATTTGCATTTGGCGTATTTATAAAATAATTTTTTGTTTTATCGGTCCGAGTTTTGAAACGAAAAATACGTATTTATCACACATTTTTTAAACACAAAACTTTTAACAACAAAACCGCATAGCTTTTTACGCCAAACTTTAAATTCAGAAACTGACAACAAAAAAAAAAAAACAGAATCTAGAAAAATCGATGACAAACAACTTGTGCAAGAAGCACAAAAAGTGTTCCACTGTCTCATCCTCTTCAAGGCAGGATGGGCAAATGGAGTTGTCATTTACGTTTAACACAATCAGGATGTTTGTGCCCCCCTGAAGTGACCAATCAGCAGTTCTAGAAGTTGTCTGCAGTCCCATCTGCTCAATGAGAGCAAAACACTAGATAGAACTTCTGAGATTGAAGGCAACATGAGTTTTATTCACCCGCATTCCCTGGATGCCCCTAGTTATTTCTGAGTGAAGTATTCACCCAGTTTCTGATGGTGACTTCGATGGCCGAAGTGGGGAGTGTAACAACTGGTTGCGTATCGAGGAAGTGGTCTAAGCCAACTGTGGCTAAATGGTCAGATGTCTCCTTACTAGATACTCCCGGGTGACCTGGCAAAGCAAGCTCGTTATGTTTACCAACATAATTTTTCGAGACTTGCGTTGCCGAACTAGTTTGGAATTACTTAGATAGAGCGCTGGCCAATGCCTTGAGTGCAGCTTGGCTGTCACTCCAAACACGTAAGCTCCTTCCCCTCCACCTATTTTCCACAACGTAGTCCATGGCTTTGAGGATTACAAACACATCAGCCTGGAAGACCAAAAAATATTCCCCAAGAGAAAGTGAAGCTTATCCCCACTATTTTCGAAGAACAGCCGAGTTCCTGACCCACACTCAGTTTTAGAGCCTTCAGTAAAGTTTCGAAAATGTGTGAGTCCAGGCTCAGTGCTGGAACTAAAACGGCATTCAATGTAATAGAATCTCTTCAACAAAGGTATCCTGTAGCATTAGAAATACGCAAGTGCTCAAATCTCTGCCACCAGCAATTTCCGCCTCGCCTCACTCAGTGTTATACCAACATCCGTTTATTTTTAGTATGCAGGTGGCCTTTAAGGCCTCCCCAAGTATGAAGACGCAGCAGTGCGTCAAGAGCACTATACACCACTCAAATAAATTATTGTTAAATAATGAGGCTATCAAGCAACCATTTTGGTCTTTTACTATCGAAACCAGATAAATTTTCGTGGACCCCCACTGACAACTCGTGGACCCCCATATTTTTTTCATGCCAACGTAGACCCCCGGCGAGTCTGCCGTGGACCCCTGTGGGTCCACCTGGACCACTTTGAGAATCACTGCTGTAGGGAAAGAAACTAGTGCGGAACTGGTTCGGTTCTAGTGCGTTCGGAACCATGACTAGTACGCGTTAATTCTTTTTTTGCATGCTAGCGACTGGCGAATTTAACATTGCGATGTCCTAGGAAGTGTCAGTTGTCCCCCGTTGCATCCCCTTGGCTCTAGTTCCGAACCAGTTCTAAGTTCGACAGATAAGATCTAGTTCGTTTTGCATCCCTTTTTCTATAGTTCCGAACCAGTTCCAAATTCGACAGATGAGATCTAGTTCGTTCTGCATGCCCTTTTCTTTAGTTCCAAACCAGTTCCTAATTCGACAGATGAGATCTAGTTCGATCTGCATCCATTTTTTATATGGAGTTCCAACCTGTTATAAATTCGTCACCTTAGATATATATTTCTAATCAGGCTTGTCGAAACATTTCCCTTTTATATTAAATATGATCGGTTGAAGGAAGACCAATACCATCACAAATGTTTAAACGCATTTATTAAAAATTTATAAACCACATTAGTAGAAGTAGTAGTATTAAACTTAAGTAGTAAGTAAAAAACAAAAGTGCATTCTGCTCAAAAGTAAAAATATTAGTTCACTTTGTCTTACTTGTCTAAATCTAAGCATATTGATTTTTAAGTAAATTCAGTTCTTTTTAAGCTTATATGTATATGAAGTACTTTGAAAGTTTTTGCCGTACCTAAATAAGATATACAGTCAGCCAATAAAGTTTAGGTACAGCGAAGTTTTTACAATACCGGCAACTATTTTAAAAATTTTTTTTTCCCCCAAATTTTTTATAAAAATATGGTTAGTTCTACACCAAAAGCCCAAAAATCAGAGTTTTAAACCTTATGTAAAATTAAAGAAATCTCCGCAAATTTAAATCCAAATATTGCAATTTACACTCTTTAGAAAAACGTTAAGTGCGCAGTTTTTTATCCCATTCAATTTTAGTAACGGGTGATTTTTTTGAGGTTAGGATTTTCATGCATTAG